TGTGACTGTTCCAGTCAATAACGAAAATTCGAGTAGCCTATCTCTGCGATGGTGTTAGAAAAGGTGAACATATTACATTATGGCCAATCAGAGCCGCATTCCTTCCGGGTGCAATCTCTCGAGCTCTGGACTGTACTTCAGGCTCTTTTAGGTTCTCGAGGGCATAGCATGCCTGGATGTGGTAGTGGGATAAGTTATATTGTCACGGTTTTTATAATATGTTAGTGGTTAACACTGATCCTATGTCTAACGAGCTTCGTATCAGTCGCTACTATTTGTAGGTTTGACATTTTCTCCCAATAATGAGAATTTGTGGTCCTATTACACTATGGCCAATCAGAGCTGCTTCTCTCAGGAGTACCAACTTCTGAGTCCTGCGCGAACATATGTCACTTTTAGCTAATATCGAAAATTTATGTGATCTATCTTTACGATCAAATCAGCAAAGGTGATCCTATTACACTGTAACCAATCAGATCCATGCTCCTCACGAGTACCAACTCCTGAGTCCTGTACAGTAGATGCGACAGGTTTAGCGAATACCAAAAGTTTATGTGATTTATCTTTATGATCGAATCAAAGATGCTAGTTCTATTATACTATGACCAATCGAAGCAACGTTCATTTCTCTAGCCACTATATACGTTGCTTAGAACCTGACTAGGCAAGACACAAGGTCGAGAGTAAAAATTAGCCTATGATCCAGCAAACTGACTGGATTGCGATTAACCTGATCCTATTAACTTTATTTTCATGGTTCCTTTTCATGACTGGCAGTATTTTCGTTAAATAATAGGTATCCAGGATGAACCAAGATTAAGTCAAATGTTTGTATATTTTTCAAATATATTTCATTTAGGAAATTAATTAATATTCATATGTTCATCCTTTAAGAGCATCTGTAATATGCTACAACATTTTTGTAGACAAAGTTCATCGATACGAGGGTTCTTCCATTGCTCAGACGTCGTCCTCAAAGGGTTAATACATGTGTGACCTATCTTTACGATTGTGTTCGCGAAGATATATCTATTACACCATGGTCGATCAACTACCAACTTGCCAACCACCTCCAGTAAACCTAACACTTACAACCAATATCGAAAATACGTGCACCTCATCTTCCACGATCCCAACAACCTTATAAATAACAATTACACGTATCACCCACATTAGAACTCTACCAAGCACAACTTTGACGACCTACCTCCATCGTAGTAGCCTTCAGAAAATAGCTAAAATAGCAGTCCATATATACTTCTAAGCAAATTATAATACAATATCTGAATCCTGAATGTGTAAATTGTAAAAAGCTACAGATATTTAAATTGTAGGAATTGAATTATAAATAAATTAGGAAATCTCAGTTGTCCCCGTAACAACCATGCACACAGGTTTGCAATGGAGTTAACTGATCTGTGCAAGTTAATCCGAACACTGCTCCAAAATAAATCGCAAAGCGAGGAGCTAACGAAGTTAACAAAGGATCTATCGGAGTATAACCGATGCCGTGTCCCAGTCGTGACAATGGCGCGCGTCGTCGAGCGTCGATCGGTGATCTCGACGCCCGCGAACCTGCACAGGCGAGATCGATCTCTCCACGCGGACAGGACGGCGCGACGGCCACCGGCGGGCTCCGTGAAACGGAAACGTAAACGGACATAAGGGGCAAGAGACGTGGGGGGTTGCGTGACTCTTTTTTTCGCCTGGAAAACCGGTACTTCGAATTGCGAGCACGTAAATAATTAATGCGAATCGTAAGCGCGAGGAAGGCGAACGACGCGCAAGAACTTGATTACCAGCCAGGACGGGGACCAGATTTTTGTTATCCTCGTGAGAATAACGAAATATGGGTGCGTAAAATGACCAGAAAAATTCCTGCCATGGGTTACGTTAACCATATCCCCTAAAAAGTAAAAAGAAATTAATTCAGCTTGCAGTAAAGTTTACGCGAATATTTTTGAAACGATATCGAGCTGAAAATCTTATTAGAAATTAGGAAATATGTTTTTGAAAATTCTGTGCCTTATTTTTGCCTATGTAATTATCGGTAATCTACGCTGTTTCTTTTAAAAGAGAATTCGCGATATTTAGTAAATTTGCGATACCCCAGCAAGTGCACAGTTAGAGATAAAAGGGATTAAAGGGTCTAAAACACTTGGAGATTTCGATCCAGAAATTTTACCAGGATTCTAAAGGAGAAGCTTTAAAGAATTATCGTTATTTGTATTATTTGAATTATTCGAGGAATTTTCCAGCTCTTGCGATCACTGTAACTCATCTTTCTAAGCTGGTAAGGCTACCTACTTCGGTTATAGAAAGATGCATATTAATCTAGGCTACAGAAACGACGAAAATACTACCTTCGTTCGAAATTCAACTTCGTTCCACCCAAGATCTCGAATCACACGAAATAGCAAGTGAACAAATGCTAGGTACTCACGTCGTTAATTCGCGACATCTTATTAAACCGAGCGAACCTCGTGCAGTGAATGAAAAAAGATGTTCGCGACTTTTTACATGAAAATCACTGAATTTTCCTGTTTCCTTCTTTTCATCCGTACGCACGAGTCTACAGCTTTATAACTACACCTTTTAACACCTTATTATTTACGGTCGATTTTACTCGGAACATTTCTCGGGCATCTATTTTAACGAGAGGCAACATTTCACCTTTTTTCCTTTCTTTTGCTCGTGTTTTATCTCAATATTTCGTATCTCGTTTCAAAAACACGCTTAATACGTACCAACGTTTATGAGAAATTTCACATAGGTTGCCGCTAACGCGCACCTTAAGGCATGCCATTATCAGTTTTCGATGTTGCAGCCCGACAATTACACATACCGATGGAACTACCGTCTAATATGCGATTCCATGAATTCAGAGCACGGCACTTCATACGGTGCTCATTTAGGCTTAACCACCGTAAAACAGGCTACTTTTCTTCTGCCTGCGTTTTATGCATAACTGGCCAATGGTTAATGTTAGCTCCGTTCTGGACGCTTCACCTCGTCCCATTCTTCCAGACGGCCAATGAAGGAGAGGAAAAGAAAACGACGAGTATCTCTAAACAAGACCACAAATAAAAGCGAGAGCACGGTCAAAGACCTGTTAATGATGCTAAATACACCGTTCAAGACACTTGCAGGATCAGGTAGTCAAATAATTTGATGACCGAGGAAACTGTCCAACGCGTTAAGACCTCCATCTGCCATAGCGAGTTAAACAACTGGTAATTTTGCTCATTTTTCATTCGAACGTGACACAAGCTCTGCGTTCTTACAGGCTTGTTTCGACGTTTTGCGAATTTATTTGAAACAAAGAAATTCGATTCGATGATATAATCGTGAGATGCATCGGAGGTTAGCGCAGAGGACGGAAGCCATTTTGTTGAAGCGTCACACAAGATGGCTGACTCGAGACAAAGAACACTACTTTAATTTCGTTAGTAATAAATTATTCTATTATCTCCAATTATTAATTCTAATTATTTAATAATAAATTATCCTCGGGAGAAATTCTGATAAATCCAGTAAAAAAATGGAAATATTTTTTAATACTACGCAAATTACAGAGTACCATTGGACATCGACGAACTATTAAACCTGTTATTTCGCAATCTTTTCTACGCGTTTGTTCGTGTAAATATATGAAGTTATAAAAAGAAATTACAAAATTTTCCATTTAATTTGAGAATGTTGAAAAATCATTCAAACATCGATTAAAGGAGAGTACAACTGGAAATATTGCGCTGAAATCAGTCCAAGGCAAGTGCACGAGGAAACAGCGAAAGTAATTCTGAAAGGCCAAGGCCAATCTTAACTGGTTCAAGACAGAAGAATAATCCATCATTATGTAACGATACACGGTAACGAATACGTGGAAATCCTTCGAGTAAATCGTGCTTCGGAGTCCGAAGGAAAGAGGAATATGATTTAACGCGACAAGCAGTTAACAGCAATTCCACGACGACTAATTGCCCGGCGCTAATTACTCGAGGGAATTGTCAGAACGATTCTAGTTTACAATGATCGAAATGTCAAATTTTTCTTTGAAATGAGCACGTTTTCGAATTGCAGATGACGGTGAAAATTTATCGAGTCGACAAAGAAGTAGCGTTGTAAACGCGGTACAGCATCCGGTGCGTAATTTCATCATAACTTGCCTAAAATAATAGCGTCCCATCGACAGCATCGAATCCTCTATGGTGCAATTAATAATAGGCCGAGACCGCCTATGCGGTCACCAAAGTTATACGCGTCGAGCCCTTTGAGGCGGGAATTCCCCATTATAGCTCTTCTGGGAGCCATTAAAACTTTGCTCACATAACAAACGACGGTACATGGGGTGTTATACGGCCTAACGAGAACATATGATGTACACACGCGTTTTCTTGCGCGAATTTCCATCCACGAGAAATCGTGCAAATTTCACGGAATAAAAATGACAGGAAAGGAGTGGAATAACATCGTCGAGATTCTAAGACTGCTGCTTTTGAAACGAACAATAGATGGCAAACAAGGCTAACGTTTCACGGAAACACGCTGAACAAATACAGAAAGTACGCGGGTAACTCTCCGCCGTGTATTTATACAAGAAAACATAACAGTTATCGAGTGTAAAAACTTTGTTCGGTGGAAAACGGGACCAAGGAGTTACACGTCGTTTCTTCGAGTCCTATTAGCTTTATATACGTTTGAACAAGGATGAAAACGCAAGGATTCTTTCTTTCTCTTCTAAACCTATTCATGTCCAAAGTATTTCTCGATTCGAAAGTTTATCGAGGAACATATTATCGAATACGCGACATGCTTCTTTTATTAAAAGAAAATTATATGTTTCATTTTTGAAAATAGATGTATGATCGTGAATTTAAGGATAGGAATTCTCGAATATTAATCGGGTTATATAGTAATATTTAAATTATAATTTGAAGCACTTTTCCCGACTATTTAAAAATGGATAAGTATTCATCATTATAAACAATGTAATCACTCACCCTATTTTGTTGAACAGTTTTCCATGAACATGCAGGTAAGATGTGACGAATCGTTTATTCACCTGAAACATACCCATAATTTGCATTAAAATAAAATTTGATATGATTTTTGGAAATGGTGATTTATTTATTTATTTTTTTTTTTTTCCTTATTCGTCACTTAAAAATTAGGAAAAGATGTTAAGTTAAACTAAAAAGAATTAATTTTATTGAGACTATTTTTGTTTACCTCGACGCTACTTAATTGTGCCAATTCTTCTAGGTCACTATGAGATAATCTTGCTTCGTTGGCAGTGGCTGCAGTAGTTGTACGACGAACTCGTCTTCCACCAGGATGAATCCAAATTTCTCTCCTTAGTCCACCACCAATGCTATTTGCTCCTTCCTTCTCTTTCATCCTGGCCCGTTCTTTCCATTCTCTCTCCTCTTTCCGTTTCCGTTCCGTCGATTCGTACTGTTAGAATACATTACAACTTAATTCTGTGTATAATTGCTCGTATAATTAAAGACAGCATAGTGCGTAGCGTAAATGAGAGTTCACTGTATACTATTCTTATAGAAATCCCATCAAATACTTGTATTCAATTATACGTATATTCTCTCAAATACTAATAAAAGATACAAACATCATACGTATGAAGCATAAAAAGCTCGTTAAATATTTGTATCTTTCGATTGCAACTATTTAAAAAATATGCATGCTAATATCATGTGCAAAATAGTGCTAGTAACTAATAGAAACGGTGCTTTCATTTGTAGAAAATAACTTAGCAAAATGCAGCGGCTATACTCGAATGGTATTTAAAGTATGTATTTCTATTTCTTGTAAACACTACCACTTCAAATCACTAATTACGCTATCAATTTTACTTAAGCATAGAATGATCTGCTTTTAAGTAATTATGCTTGTGCGAGAAATACTGATTTTTATACATTAAATTATTAACAGTTGTAAGCGTGCGATGAGGCATATAACGTGTAAAGAAAATTTCTAAGAAAAATCCAATACACGTAAAACAAAGGTACATTAGACGATTCGAAGATAAAGAGAACTACTTCAAGCTTTAGTTAAGATAATAACTGGTACTTAGAGATATCACACCAAGTATCGAAATTTACTTACATAATGTAGATACTGGCAGCAAAACAAAATCAAAATATTATTAACGTTAGTATTAATACAAACATATAGATAAAATATTTTAATATTTATTCTACCTTTTTCCTGTTTTCATCAAAAAGTGCTATTAAACTCTCCCTTGCAGAATGGAAAGGATTAGACGCCATAAGGGATCGCATATAATAATACACCGCATCTAATTTTCGTCTCTAAAACCAATAATTATTACATTTAAATCATCATAATTTGACTTCTTTTCCTTCTGGTTTATTGCTCACAACATGAAATTACTTACAGCATAATGTGCTAATAACGCAAGCTGATTGTAAGGCTTTCCATTCTTTGGATTAAGTTGTTGTGCTTTCAAATACCACCTGAAAAGAAAAAAAACTTTACATAAATTCATCTTCTTTACAAAATGTAATAATAATGATAGCATATTTAGTTCTACTTACTGCCGAGACTTTCCATAATTATTTGTTTCAGTTGCCTGTTCTCTATATCTCGCCAAGTCACCCAAAAATAGATATATTTTTTGCGCGCTTACTAAAGCTAACCCTAAGATCCCAAGGCCCTTAGGTAAAGTTGACGATGCAAGAAACGTATCCAATTTAAATTCGTATTTAGTTTCGAGGACAGTTAACAAACTCTCCAAATATATCGTACCATCGTCTATAATTTTTAACATAATTTTCTTATAATGTTCTCGTCTTTCTGAACTTTCCTTAGGCATGCCTTTTCGCAGCATTTCAATCATATTATAAAAAAGTATTTTCCAAAAGTGTTGTTCAACATTCTCAGCTTGACAAAATTTAATATCAGTCTCGAGCAAAGTTTTCAAACTTTCTTGTAGAAAGTGTCTTATGTATAAAACCCTCTCCCAGTTTGATGTAAAACCACCAGAACTTAGAATCCATTGCAATTCTAAATCAGCACGTTCTATATCCAAGAGTAAGTAAGGATTTTTGGCTATTCGGAAACTGCAGAATAATATTATAACTTATTATTAATATTATATTATTAATTAAATATGTTTCCAAATTGGTCATTTGTCATATATGGTGGTGGTACACCATCTAAGTGTGTTCCCTGGAAGCAGTGATGGGTAGAAGTAATACCTCCATGGGATTGAAACACTGGTATACTTGAACCTTGAGATGTCGTCTCATTTTCTCTGAATATAAAATAATCGATAAATCAATTAACTTCATTAATCATAATATAAAACTGAGAAACGAGAAGGAAAATATTTTGTACCTTTGTACTGCCGCTCTACTACTGGGTGAAGTAATAACGATAGGTTTGTTAGGATTATTGGGATCAAATAACGTTCTTTGCTGCTGTACTCCTTGTTGTCTCGAGATTGGATGACTAGGCGGAGACTGGCTAGTATCAGGTAATACTAAAACACCCGGTGGTTGAGAACTAGTATATCCACTGGGTGATGTTTGATGTGTGGTCAAAGTATTTGCTAACGAGACAGAATGAGAGGAAACACTAGGTGTTTGTCGTCCATCGTCAGAATCACAAGCTGACATTTTTCTGCCTGTTCTCCAATTTTCATCTAAATATCGGTCAGACAATCTGGAAACCACATATTAATAAAGTAATCATATTAAATTAGGCAATGCCAAACATTAATATAAAATATAATTTGTACCTATGTCTATGAAGGTCGTCAAAATTCCGATTACCACCGCGATAATTTCTATCTTTGCTAGATTCTCGGCTACGTTGTATAATATTGCGATGTCTTCTGTGATCATACCTCCTATTGTTACTGTTTTTTTGATTATTATTATAATTATCATTTTCTCTATTTTGTTGATTATTTTGACGATCACGGCTATTAACACGGACTTTATCTCTGCTGTTACTCCTTGAAGAATACAGAGAAATAAATTTATGATAAAATAAATTTCTATTTTTGGATATAAATAATAAATATAATCTAAATACCTAAATAACAACAAGGAACATAAATAATAAATAATAAGTAATAAATAACAAATATAAACTCTCTTGCCTTCCTCGATCTGCTGCATATTTCTTCTCACGCTTTTTTTTTTTACGCCGACTATGACTACTTGTAGTTTCATTTCCTGACACATTAACATTTTCACGTAAACTTAGTACAGATGAACTACGACTTGCACGTTCGGCTTCTAATTTTTCGTTTAACTCAACTTCTTCACTCCAATCCTATGTATGTATTTAAATATGATATGTATTTAAACATAAATAATAAGAGCAGTTTAAATAAATATACTTACAAATGGATGTTCAATCGATGTATTTGTATGTAATGCAGTATTCACAGATTCAGTTTTTGATGGGCTGACACCTGAATTTTGTTGACCATTCTTCGTTTCTTGTACTATATCACGCTCAGATGTAGTACTTGCACGTTGCCTTAAAAGATAGTCAAAAAGTTAATGAATAAAGATATTTAAACAGTAAATAATTCTTTCAAGCAAATCATTACATTTGAGTGCGATGAGACGGTACGGGCGGAGATATTCCTCGACGATGACTTTCAGGTGATGTTTGACGTTTGTTCATACTAGACACTGAAGTAACAGGCGATGTTGATGATGGTGGTATCACTGAACTATCTACTCGACTTAAACTTTCCATACTAGTATACATAGTACTATTACTGCCACGGCGATCATAAGACCTATTTTTGATAAAAATTACATTGAAATACAATAATAATGATATGATAAAATGTAATACATATTTATACATTATACTACTAGTGAAAATATACCTTTGCATATATTCTTGGCTTGGTGTATGAGATCTGGAACTTGGAGCTGAATACTGATCAGGTGTTACACACCTAAAAACATTTGCTGAACTTTCTAATTCATCCTGTCTGAGTCTACCTCTACCCCTAGACCGTGATGGTGCCGTATTAGACCAATTAGATTGTGGAGGTAATGGACCAGATGGAGGTAAGCTTTGCATCGTTTGTGAATGTTGCATTGCAGGTGGGAAATTATAATTTGATGATGCCTTTGAAAAAATAATTTACATTAAAAATATTTAAAAAATTTATTCAAATTTTGTAAGTAAAATAATATTAATTTTACCTGAAATGAGACATTACTACTACTCCATGTATCTTCTGAAGGTGATGAACTTGGTGGTAAAGGCAGACCATTATCTAAAAGATATTTTTTCTGTAACCTGGGTGGTAAATGTTCTATTTTTATATTTTTTGGCAAACTATCTTTTGTACCACCCCATTTGCCTGATGGTGGTTTGCCTTGAAATTTTTCTGGATATCCAGCAGGTTCTACACTACGTGTATCTCTGGTGCGATTAAAATCATTTAAATGATTCGTTGTTACAAAAAGAGGTTCTGAACCCTATAAAAATAAATATTAAAAGTTAATTTTTATATAAAAATTATTTGTACAATGAAAAGTATCAACTTAATACTATTTCAGACCTGTCTAACTTCACGAGAATTATCTTTTCTATTTCCGTAACTTCTGCTGGATAAAGGAGAATCAGATCGCCAACGTTCTTCATTTTCATTACTGTTACGAGTTCTGCGATTACCCGAATATCTTTTACCATGTTCATCGCGATTTTTACTTCCACTTTCACTTTCTTTTCTACCATGGCCAGCTGCTCGATTACGGTGACTATCGCTTTTATGACTACGATTGGAATGAGAATCACGATCTTCACTATGCTCTCTCTCTTGATCCCGTTCCCAACCCCCTTGATTGGGAGATCTAAGGTGTAAGGATAATATTTTTATTCAATCTATAATTTCTTATTACTAATAAAATAAAAAATCTTTTACAGAATTCACCTATTTGTTACATCCTGTTCAGCCAATGCTTCTTTTACTTTTTTAGGTACATACAATTGTTGCTCTGGTTTCTTAGATTTTCTTCTTGAATCTCCAAAATTACTATTCTGAGAAGAACCTTGTGCCTGTTCAATATTTGTAATGCTTCTGTAGTTAATATTTAGATCATTTAGCTTGTCTGTTACATTTTCAACTTGAGATGATGGTGGACTATTTTGCATTTGGTTGGATCTATTGAGTTGTGACTGCTTTAATCGATGTTGGACGGAGCTTGACTTAGGTTTCTCCTGTGAAATATTTTCATTATCTAAATCATCTGTAGATCTTCCCGATTTTCGAAGAGGTCCACTTCCTGGCCTATATAAAGCTTGAGATGCTCTATTTGCTCCACCACGCATTCCCATCGATCTATCCTTTTCTAATTTTGAATTATCTGAAAACAAAATTTATCTTCTTATTATTTATTTATTAATTTTATTATAAATGATAACAAATTTTAACAAATTAAAAATTCATTTAAAAATAAAATTAGTTTTATATTTACTTTAATTATACATTATATTCATTTATATAACATTAGCTTCATTTAATTTAAGATACATACAAAACTGAAAATAAAATGTTAAATGAAATCATCAGGACATCATCACTACTTAAACTAAAACAAATTTATGAAAAAATAACATAATAAAATTGTTAAATATTATACAATAATAATCCAAAATAAGTTTTATAGAGAAATATAGATAATTCATATCACAAAACAAAGAGAAACTACATATATTTTTCTTTTTTTCATGCAAACATGAAAGTTCTGTAAATAAGTTACATATATTAGTTATAAATAAATTTTTATCACAAGAATCATGAAAAAATAGTTACTATTATACCTATAATGTCTATACTTTTAATAGTCTTTATATATTCAGTATTTAGTAGAGTAAATGACAGGTCATATATGAGTATTCATATGCGGTAATTAAATACTACTATTATTTAAATATAATACTCTGCTTAAGTGCAATAACTTAATAGTGATTGTTGACACTCTTGACAGTAACTGCAGTTGCTATCAATCTAGGAGAATTAGAGGTAATAGTTATATAACCTCCTGCTGTTTGAAATAAATTTATAATTTCTAGAGATGTCTAGCAGAAATTAAAATATATGCTAAGTTTACTTCTTACTCTAGTTAAATTTCACAATATATCACAGCATATTAATTCCCGCTGTATTTTTAGGTTAGCTTGTTTAGTGAGGTTAGTTCTGTAAATGTACCCAACAGAATTGAAAGGGGACATACATGATTATTAATTACGTACACACAAAATATAATCATGGGATTGCAAATTAGGATACTTATAGTATTCAGTAATATAGTTTTTTTTAAAGTACCTTGTAAAAATCCTCCCCACTTTCTGCGTCCTTTGTCGCGGTTCGCCATATTGAAGTATAATCATATCCAAATTTTTTTAAATCGGGAAATTCGAATTTACTTCTAATCATGTATTTAGTTGATATACACGTATTAGTATCAACATTTAACTAAATTTAATAAATAGTAAGAAATATTTAGGAAACAATACTATTATTATTACTAAAAAATAAATTATTGAGATATACTTATCTAAATATTTTATTATTTTAATAAGTAGTAAAAATTTGTAACAAATATAGTTTTCAAATATAAAATATAATTTCAGTTAAAAGAATTTAATAGTATAGCTTATTGTACTGTTAGGTAATTTTTGTAACTGTTTATTCAAACAAAATGAAATGAACTTTTTAAAATTTATCGCAATTAAGTAGGACATATTTCATAATATATAATATGCAATGACATGAAAGTTAAATAAATTGATACACTATTTACAGGTACAGATTTGATAACTTTTCAACAATATTATTCCAGATAATTATTTAAAAAAGAGATAACATCTCTAATAATGTACTCAACAGACACTTATACATATGCATATATACTTAGTATTATATATGTAAACTAATTTGTGTTTTCTTTATAAAAAATTAAGGTTCTTTTATGTTTTTACTGAATATACAAAAATAATTTTATAAACTTACGATTAAAGAAATACTAGGGACTATGGACTTTAGCGCCATATTATTTAGCTAGACATTTAGTGTATTTTATGAATATGTTTCTATTAGATATTTTTGGAAGAAAATTAAGTAATTATAGTTATTGTCAATTATTATATATAAGATGAAAATAAAACAGACTTTTATGAAATATAATACATTGAAGTTATTCTCAAAAAAAGTGTTAGTATAGCAGTCTATAACCTTGATATATTTGTTTCTAAATCCTCGTTTTTTCTGGTCAAATGTTTATTCCGTTTGTTAATATTAATCGTACGTTAACGACCGCTGCAAGATGCAAACGGCGGGTTGTTGTGACAGGTCTTGGAGTAGTGTGTCCTCTTGGAGTTGGTGTACAAAATGCATGGCAAGCTCTTATTAACTCCAAATCAGGAATTACTAAATTGACTGACCCAGAGTATGACAAATTACCTTGTAAAGTCGGTAAGAACTTTTTATATCTTTATTTTTTTCTAAATAAATAAATGTAAGTTAAAATAGTTCATATTTTATAATAAATTTTACATATATATATATGTATCTTAATAGGTGCATTAGTACCAAAAGGAAATAATCCTAATGAATTAAATATAGATTCATATTTTACAAAAAGTGAATTACGCACAATGTGCCCTGCTACTGCCTATGCTTTAATAGCTACAGAAGAAGCATTAAATAATGCAAATTGGAAACCAAAAGATGAAAGTGATAAACGAGATACAGGAGTAGCAGTAGGAATTGGGATGATAGATTTGGTCGATGTATGTGCTACATATGAGGCTTTAAAAAAAGGATATAATAAAGTTAGTCCCTATTTTGTACCAAGAATATTGCCAAATATGGCTGCAGGACAAATTAGTATTAAATATGGTTTTCGTGGTCCAAATCATTCTGTATCAACAGCATGTGCAACTGGAGCACATGCAATTGGTATTATAAGTTTTACCAAAAAACTAAGAAAAAATTTCCAGATTTATTATAGTCAAGAAATTATTTATTTCTAGGGGATGCATTTCGATTTATTCGTGGAGGAGAAACAAGTGTAATGATATGTGGTGGAGCAGAAGCATGTATCAGTCCTCTTGCTATAGCTGCTTTTTGTAGACTTAGAGCATTAAGCACCAACAAAAATGATTTTCCATATGAAGCATCAAGGCCATTTGATAAGGACAGGGATGGTTTTGTTATGGGAGAAGGTGCTGCTATACTAGTGTTGGAAGAATTAAATCATGCCCTTGAAAGAAAGGCTAATATTTATGCAGAAGTGTTAGGATATGGTTTATCTGGTGATGCAACACATTTAACTGCACCCAGTGAAGATGGTACTGGTGCAATATTAGCTATGGACAGAACAGTGAAAGATGCTGGAATAGAAATTGTGGATATAACTTTTATTAATGCACATGCAACTTCAACTCCTTTGGGTGATAGCATTGAATTAAAAGCTATAGAATCGTTTATGGGACAACATAGTAAAAACGTAACTGTCTCTAGTACAAAAGGTGCTCATGGTCATTTATTAGGTGCAGCAGGAAATTTAGAAGCTGTTTTTACTATTTTAGCAATAAAAGAAGGTGTAATTCCACCAACATTAAATTTGCATAAGTTAGATACAGAAACGTGCTTAAATTTTGCTCCTAATGTAACAAAAAATTGGAATACAACATCTAGACGTGTAGCTTTAAAAAATGCTTTTGGTTTTGGAGGAACAAATGCATGCTTATGCTTTGCACAATATAACCAATAAGTTGATTTGATTGAAATAAATTGCATACTTTAAAACTATTTTTAGAAAAAGCATAATAATACATAACATAATTTGAGCTAGTCATCCATTAATGTACATCAATTTATTTTCAATGTACATTAATTTATATTTATTACATATATTGCATCTAAAGAAAGCCAATATGCATAATTTTACTTTTTTATAATAAAGCAAAGCGTGATTCCATTTAATCGCATTTAAAACTGCAGCTAGAATATAATAGCTTCAATATTTTTAATATTTTTATGTAATATATAATACAAAAGTCGTGTGATATATTGCGTAAAAAACACATTTTTTATATTATATTGTTGTACAAAACTGTACAGTTGTAAAAAGATCTAATTTGGAATAATATAATACATAATGGAATGGAATATTTATTTTGTATTAATTTTTAATATTTTCCGGCCATATCATTATTACAACATTTACATTCATTTTGCAGAAAAATGAAAACCAAATCTCGGCTTTCAAAAAAATAAAATTCTCTTAAAATTATATAGTAATTTATACAACAATTACTTGCTACATGCAATTCATCGTAATTTGTCATGTTTTTATAACTCAACATGCTCACAAAAATCATTTGATTACACAAGTACATAGAAATCAGTCTCATTTAATTCCGATTACTGACAATATTTGTGCATTAATTGATAATTTATATTTTTTTGAATCCAGTTTTCAAAATTAACATTTGATTATATATTCTGATTTCATTCATTAACAATTATATTTTCATCTACAAATGTCTTTTATTTTTATACATTCAGCTGCGTAAAAAACAACAAAATTCAAGGCATAATTGTTTCTTGGTACCTCTAGTTTATTAGATGCAATTCTTTGCTTACAGATAAACCATACCATATGATGTTCTTACGATGTACATCTCCAACGATATTTTATTCACATAGGAAGGTTGACATCCACTGACAACAGTTATCCGAAATACATCTATTGTACTCCTGTTTCTCTACTGACAGTAAATCATTGTAAAACAGAAAGATTGTATCCTATTAAGTAACTGTACCTAGTAGGAATTCTTAATTAGGAATGGTAAAGGGTTTGGGATGGCTGCATAAAATAGCAAAACGTTTTCTTAATGTTTGACGAAGTTCTTGCCGTTTTTCAAGAACTTGGCACATTCGAGATTTAAATTCCAATACTTCTTCAGCTGGAATATAACTTTCTTTTTCTTCATCCCCTGATAAACAAGAATCCTAGAAACAAACGAATATTAGGTATGAAAGCAAAGCTATAGATGAAGCCTCAAATTATAACAAATTATGTCCTTACTTCTAACATTTGTGTAAGTGTTAAACCCCCACCCCTTTCTTTTAATAATGAGATACTAGAACTGGAATGAACAAGTTTATCAGATGGCCGACAATCTCTCTCATGATTACAACATCCATCACTACAAGCTGCTTCCGATCCTTCTGGAGTACTAGGGAGAGAAGAACTACTAATATTATGCTCTGACGAATAACCACAATCCTGTGATGATTGTTCACTCGAAGAACGACTTTTTCTTTTCGAGATTGACAATTCAAAACGTTTCTTCATTTCTATCCACATGTTGCATTTCTTACTTGGCTTTTCAATCCAAGCATCTACTATTTCTTTAGTCATAGGATCTTTGCAGTCTTCTAAATTATGCCAATGGTCATTTCCAATTTTTTCCGGAAGATCCTGTATATTAAATAACATTTAAATCTTATAACGCACGTTAAAAAATATACAGAACATGTATTGATACATTAAGTTCTTACCTTACACGACTCGCAGGCATCAAACAGTTCTTCTTCAGAAAGATTCTTAACAGGCATATTACTCTTCTTTGTTTGATTTATAAGGATTTTAGCCTTTGATTCAGAAGAACTTCTTTTAATTGTATTTTTTTGCATATTTGGCGATTTTTTAGGAGATGCTAATTGTGATTGACTCTGTGACCGTGATATACTAGATTTGGATTTTTTTACACAATCTGGGCATTTACATGTAGGTGGTCCCTTATTTTTTGGATCTAATACTTGTAACTAAAATAAGCAGAAAATAATCATATATATTTACATATAGTTACAAAAAATTATATAATAATAATCTGTTTACCTTATGTTGATCTATATTTTGCGTTGTGGGTTTTGAATCCGCACAAACACAAGATGTGTCACTATTACCATTTTGTCTTTTGCTCGAGCACTAATAATAATTAATTTATGTAAGAATATGAAATACACAGACTTAAAAAATTTGATTTACGAACGATAACGTACATCACATGTATCTTCTTTCTCTTCTGTCTCATACCGTCGTTCTTTCTTCTTTTTGCGTTTTAAACGTAACTTTTCTCGTCGTTGTTGTTTTGCTATTTCTTCTTTTGTTAACTCTTCATAGAGAAGTTCTAACTGAGAAACACCTTGTTTAACTTCTACAGCCATCTGTGAAGAATCATATAAGCATTTACAAATAACTCTATTAATTTAACAACATTTTACAAATTCTATCAACTGTACTTGAAAATTCCTAGACAATGCATCTACTGCAACAGCAGCTAATACTTTGCATACAGTTTCTTCTTCTTTTAATCGTCTATAAATTCTATGCAAACGTTCAGTAATACACATTCCTAAACATATAAGTACCTCTTCCTGAGCAATTTCTAACGTTTTCGCATGTCGTTCCCTAAAATTTAAAGATTATTTTACAACTGATTCTGAAAATAAACTTATGGACCACAATATTTTGAAATTCTATACCTTCCCATGAGTTCTGGTTGTATACGTTCCATAAGCTTATCCATAAACATGTCATCTACAGGTATATGTATATGCCTACCACGTATACACCGTTTAATTCCATCATATAAAGATGCAACATAGTCTTTTTCCTTTTCTGGTTCAGGCTCTGTTGTTAACAGAGAAAATGCCAACAATACCTTTGTACGACATTCACCACAAAATCTGTAATAGTAGATGTGATACAAAATTTTTATAAATAATAATAAAAATTTATGAACTCACCGATGTTTCTGTAAATATGTATCCAAAGTAGCTTCAAGAGTACTACTTTTTATCACAGCAAATCCTAACCGACATACAAACTTCATACAATCCCATACTTCTTTCCATGCACTTGGAGGAGGTCTCATACGTTGAATTTCTAATGAATGGAGTGCACATCTTCGTGATTTCTTATTTCTAGGTTGACCTTCAACTAAACTGTTTAACCTAGTACTATAGCAAATATTAAAATTGTTACATATATATATAAAAGTAATATACATATTCATATTTATTTAATTACCTATGCCCCTGCAACATTGTACAAAGCAGCTGTGGTGACTTTAAAACATCATCCTTTATTGATAACAAACCTTCAGGTGTAATTACCATTGGATCTAATGCTGGATGTCCTGATTTCATAAGGTCATGGAATAATCTTTCAACACTAGATATGTAAAATACTATTTAATATAAGAAATTAACATATTTACTGTGTATACAGATCTTACTTAAATATTTTATTATACCTTCTTCTACAACCAACACATGGTACTGCTTGACCTAAGATTGCAAGCATATCCTTGCATGTTACTTTAAATGAAGCTTTAACTTCTTCTTTTGTAAGCATATTAAGTTTTCTGGTAAATTCATCAAGCTCTTTACCACAAACTAATGGACTATCACAGATTGCTCCCAAATCACTTATGTCCATAACCATCTATAGAAAAATAAATACTACATTATATGATTAAATTCATTTTTATATTGAACCTAAATACTTGTAAAAAAAAAATCTCTAATTTAATACATTTCAAATAAATATAATATGCTTAAAATGTATTGAAGTATAATTATATTTAAAATTTATGATATAACAAGTATATATGTACACTTTTAGATAAAAGAAGTAAACTATAGGTAATTATTAAACAGAGAGAATAAAATATGTTAAAAAATAAATATATTTTAATTAAATTGCATCTTTTTCCCTATTTATATTTGTTTATGTATAAAATAATGACATATTATATTATTTGTATCAATGAATTTATTGTTCAAGTTCTTGTTTCATTCATTGTTCGATTGTATATAATCAAAGTTCAAAAAAAAACAAATCATTTTGACATTCTTTTCTATAAAAAGAAAACAAATGTTCTTAAAATCATAATAATCGCGTTTATGCAAATGAAGATCGCAGAAATTATCACAAAAACTTCAATCCCGTTAAGTATGAACAATCAACAACTATTAAGAGAGATACAGATATCAAACATAATACTCTAAATTAGTTGTGGTACAAGCATGCATTCATTGCTACGTTTAGGTTAAGTTAGAAATATCATAGGATACCATTACGTAAGTCCTATCGAGGTTTCCGCTTTTAATACTCAAAAACTGTAGTTAAAAAAAAAAAGATAACAGACAAAAATTATAGTCACCTTAAGATTCTCATCGACAAACAGCATTTGTCTTCGCATCAACTTGTACGAATGTTCTTCATCCCAAAGGTTCACTAACTTCGCCATCGCTGTTGAATTTCTCTATTAATAACAATTATATATACGACAATGTTCAATCTCGAAAGGCGTTATGATACACGACCACAAATAATTGTAATTCACTGCCACGATTATACCAGAAAAATAAGTATACGGTATCATACGCCTGCCATTTGCAACGAGTGGTTTCTCACTTCCGCCCTGCGTGCATTGTCCCGCCTCCCTCTCTAAGCGTCATCTTATCCTTATTTTAAAAAGATCGTAGAGTAGAAATCATGTGTATTGGACACTGATGTACACTTTTTGCCGACACTTTTAAAAAATCGTAACTCATTTCTAATCTTTCTCGTACATGTAACGACGTTAAATAAATTAAATGGTATTTTCAAATTTCAAGTGTATCTGTAATTGTAACATAATTTTTGTCTTTTTTTTCTTACAATAATACACAATCTTTATCTTTTTTCTTTCACGATAGTACTCTTTCGCTTCTTCTCTTGCAGAATAGTAAGTTTAACGCTTATTGTTAGTTACTTTAAGAGACTTTGAATAATTATGATCTTTTCTTTAATTGCATATATTTCTAGTTTTCTCCAAAGTATTTATCTGGCCCAAAGTACTATTATACACACTATTTATATCATAGAACAAAAATCTGGTTACAACGAATAATATTTTTGTTTTAATTAATCCTAGTTTCTTTTTAAAATGTTTTTATGCACTTATTAATCATAAAATATAACTCATAATATAATACATAAAAAGAAATTAAAATATAACGCAAAGGCATATATTTAAATATTTTCATAAAGTTCATTTATTTTTGTAAAATATTAAATTATTACTAAAATAAAAAGTGTTTAATGCATCTAACAAAAATTTATACAGCCCGCCGATTTATTTGAGCACATCTACTTTTGATGTATCATAGGGCAGTAGCATGGCAGTAGTAAGAAGTGTTTCGAAATATTCTCAGAATTTTCCATACAATACGTCTTCTATTTATTTTTCCTTCATAACAGAATTTTATAGAAAATATTTTAATAGACCATATATAAATTCAATAATTTTTAATTTAAGTTTTTTATATGTAGTTTAAATTTTATCTACATTCCAAACAAAATTGTTAATAAAGCTATGTTTTCTAAGTATATTTGGTTATTACCATTATTTGTATCTATTTTAATATGCTCAAATAATTATTTAAATGACATTAAACTTAATTTCGTTGACAAGTGGTTAAATATTATTAAAAATTTTTATTTGGATCTAAATAAAAAATCAAATTTAGAATTGAATGTAGGCATAAATCAAAAAGTATTTACCACAACAGAACTTAAAAAATATACAAATTTGAAAGACGGTTTATACATTTCAATATTAGGTCATGTTTTTGACGTTACAAAAGGTGCAAAACATTATGGTCCTGGTGCAACTTATCATGCATTTACTGGTATAATTTATAATAAAATATATATCTGTCATTATATTGTAAAATATATATTCATATTATATTCATGTATTTGCAGGACGTGATGCATCTTTAGCATATATCACTGGAAAATTTAATGATGAAGGCTTAACAGATGACATTTCTTCATTATCTATTGAAGAAGTTAAAGGACTGAACGAGTGGCTCAAATTTTACAATAAAAACTATATTTATAAGGGTATATAGAAAATAATTGAATATTAAGAGATTATTTTATTATCATCCTCTTTTTTAATAGGAAAATTAAATGGCAGATATTATAATAAAGATGGTTTTCCAACTGAAGAATCTCATAATGTGCAAAATATGATAAATCAATTTGAAAAAGGACTTAGAAAAATATTTCCTCCATGTAATATAGAATGGAAGGCAGATTCTGGAACTGTAGTATGGTGTACTAAAAAAAGGTAAATATAATATATAAAAATATTAAATGTAATTAAAATTAATGCTATGTCTTTTTAGTGGAGGAATAGAAAGAGATTGGATTGGTGTACCAAGAATGCTCTTTGAATCTTATTCTCCTGAAAAATATACTTGTGTTTGTGTTGAACTCGATAGTAAAGAATATAAAGAGAATAAATATATGCTCAGAGAATATGCACAATGTCCGAAAACCTCAATAAAATGTGCTGTAAAAACAGAAAACTAATAGTTAAAAAGTTTATTTAAAAATTCATAAAATAGTTTATTATTGCTTAAAATGCATTTCATTTTACTAAACATATATATATTTTTATATATTAATGAATATATTAGAAAATAAATATTGAACATTCAAACACTATATAATATACAAGATACTGTAATATAAATGCATTAGAAAATCTTAATTGACTAAAAATATACATAGCATTAAGAATCTTCGAAATTAATATGTTCACGAATTATATTGCTTCCATTATAACATTATAATTTTAATTGTTATTTTAATATAAATTTTTTTTACTAATATAAAATTTTATTAATACCGTTTCCTTTATTATAAGAGTACAGATTTAATCATTAATTTATTGAACACAAAATACTGCTTTCTTAATATTTCCTTACAATTTCCTTATTGTATAATTAGATGTAGTTATAAATACATCTTTTGCTACTTTCAATAATCATATAAAAAATTAAAAAATTATCATAAATGAACTGTAAAATTTTGTTAGAGAAAAAAAGATAATTTTTTAAGTGTTTTCTACTTTAATTATAAAAAAAATTTGTAATACATCTTAATATTTTCACATCCTGTCACTTTGCTTCACTGTCAACTTTTGCAGGTGATTCTGATCTAATACCATTTAATTTTTCAAGCAACATTTGCATAGATGCACGCCTTTGTTTGAAATTAATTTTTGATCCAAATACACTTTTAATTTTTGCTCTTCTTTTCCTTAACTTAGAATCAGTAGGTTTTTCCTGAAATTGTATCATACGTTTATACCTTTTTACACTCATGTATGTAATAAATTCATTTGCATCATCTTTTTCTTCATAAATTGTTTCCAAATTATTTAATCTTCTTTTTAAATTTTTATTTAAATAATATTCTTTAAAATTTGTTCTTTCTGTTTGTTGCGATTTATTTCTTTTACTGATATCCTCCACTTCTGAATAACTTCTTTTCCTTGGTCTTAAACTGCACCTAATATATATATGTATATATATATATATACACATATATGTATATAAAATACATAATAAAATAAAAATTTATTTATTACAACAATGATTCTATATTGTAAATACTTATTTACCTTCTATTAAGATTATCATTAGATTCATCTTTTGGGATTTCTTTTGTGAATATTCTTGTATTTTTTGTAGGTGATAAATTTGTATTTACTGTAAGCATTTCTAAGCCTGCCATTACTGCAGGTAAATTAGTATCGGCTGTACCACATGTTTCATCTCTGAAAAATATTAAATAGGATTATATTACACTGTTTTCATAAAAATATTTGTAACACAACTTATAATAATTCTTACTGGAATATATAAATAATCTGTGACTAAATTATTGAAAATTATTACACTACATAATAAATAAATATAAATATCTTTGCACGTGTGAATAACAACTTAAATAATATTGTTTGTTAGAAAACTTACAGTATTTCGAATTGTGTTTTGTCCATTTGTAAAATTTAAATATGTATTTACTCATTTACAAATTACATACAAATATTAGTCACTTATAATCATAATTGAGCATCTTCACGAAAATCAGTTGTTATAGGAACTTTAAAAATATAATACATGTAGCATATTCATATATGCTTTAATTCTTTAATACTTAAGAACTGTAAAAAAGATTATTGAAATCTAATATAAAGTGGAACATTCACTAAGCTTTCAAAGTTTAAAATTGATGCTACAAGTTATAGCGGAAACTACGCATTATATATAGTACTTGTTTATTATACGGTAAAGAAAATGTTGAAAATAACACCTTTCTAACAACACAACTATAAACAATGAAATTTTAATACTTCGTAGTTCTTTTTAACTGTATTAATCTTATCTTGCACTACCAAACTTTAACACCTAAAGCAACAGCGCTCTCATAGGTTAAACTCGCAATTCTTACCAACCAATAATTGTATAGAAACATCAAGCATTAAGTTTCTATAGACGTTTCTATAGTATTCACATGGAAATACTGCTTTCAATACATTAAAATGTCAAACATATTTGACATTTTAACTTGACAAAATATATAAATAAATACATGTTAATGAAAAAAAGTAGTGGAATTATATTAATGGAAACATGAAGAAAGAAAGAACGGCCGATAATAGTCGACCATATAAATTATAAGTATCTCCAAGAATTTTATAATGTAAACAAAAATTTCTAATCACAGTTGATATTTCAATAAACAAAGCTTCACGTAATTCTACTAATTAATTTCAATAATAAACACTGAATATCTGTGAAGAAATGTATAAATATGTAATTTTATTCTATTCTTATACTATTACATTAAGGTTATGTTTACAAAACTTTATATCTACAGTTTTTACAACTTTATGACATTAAGTTGTAACTTCTTCACAATAATAAATAAATTTATTTAATATTTTGTATTATTTATTAGTTATATTATATATTATTTAATATTTTCTTTTTATTATACAGCTCATCAAATACTGAGCCTTACAGGTATAAGTTTCCAAAGGAAAAGCATCATTGTAAGTACAATAATTATTGTTAATTGAAATTTTTCTAACTATTGTTTTATAGATATCTATTTCATGTGCAGGGATTTGTAGAATTAACAATTGTTCCACTTAGAGATACATTAAGACTTATAAAACTAAATGCAAAACAATGTAGGATTTATAGAGTATGTTTAAATGACACGTATGAAGCACCATTTCAATATTTTGATCCATTTTTAGATATTTGCCAAGGAGATGGCAAGCAGTAAGTGTTTAAACGTAGTTATATGTAGTATTCTTATATAATGAAAACTTAATACAATGTGATGACATTTTTTCAGACGATCATTAGAATTTTTTTCAAATATGCATTTAGCAGCTGCACAAAGAGTTGATCCAGATAATAATGCAGGAGAATTAGTTGTACAAATTCCACCAGATGCTGCACATTTAGTTGCTGAAGGTAGAAGTTTAAGAATTAGCATTGAGTTTTCTTTAGAACAGCCCCAAGGTGGGGTACATTTTGTTGTTCCAAATTGTGAAGGAACATTAGCAGAGGTATTGTAAATTTGTTACATGTAAAAATTAATCTTATTTATATGAATTTATAATTAAAAATTTTTTTTAGAGAGGTGCACACATGTATACATATAGTTATGAAAATTCTTCAAGATTATGGTTTCCGTGTGTTGATAGTTTTGCAGAACCATGTACTTGGAAATTAGAATTTACTGTTGATGATTCTATGACAGCTGTATCTTGTGGAGACCTTGTAGAAGTTGTATATACTCCAGATATGCGTAGGAAAACTTTTCACTATGTCCTTAATACACCTGCATGTGCGCCAAATATTGCACTTGCAGTTGGGTAAGTTATATAAACTTCATTTGTAGTAAACAGATTTTGTTTGTATATAAAACTACTATTACTTCCAGACCATTTGAGATATTTGTAGACCCATATATGCATGAAGTAACACATTTTTGTTTGCCACAATTATTACCATCACTGAAAGTCTCTGCAAAATATATGCATGAAGCATTTGAATTTTATGAAGAAACATTGTCAAACAGATATCCTTATTCTTGCTATAAACAAGTTTTTGTAGATGAATTAGATGAAGATATAAATGCATATGCTACTATGAGTATTTTAAAGTAAGTATTTGAATATTAAATATTTCAATAATAATTATGTATTAAATGTTTGTTCATTTTTAGCACAAATTTATTACATTCAACTGCAATTATTGATCAAGTTTATGTTACAAAGAAAGCTATGGCACAAGCTGTTGCAGAACAATTTTTTGGTTGTTTCATATCTATGCAAAATTGGTCTGACACGTGGTTACCTAAAGGTATTTCAACATACCTAACTGGTTTATATGCAAAGAAATGTTTTGGAAATAATGAATACAGGGAGTGGATACAATCGGTATATGAAACTTTCTCACTAATATGTATTGATATAGTTTTGTAGAAATTTGGGGCTATAAATATTTTTAGGAATTGCAAGAAGTTGTAAAATATGAAGAACAATTTGGAGGAATAATATTAGATCCTTCTCAGCCACCAGCTCCATTACCTATTACGGCTAATACACCAGCACCTACACCCAGGACTCCAGATCCTGGATTTTATTTTCCAATAAGAAATTTACACACAATGTCTCCAAAATATATTGAAGTGCTTCGTAAAAAAGCACACTTAGTTATTAGAATGTTAGAACATCGAATTGGGCAAGAATTACTTCTACAGGTGTATACTTCTACAAATGCAATGTCACTTTTATTTTAATTTCAAATAAGTAAAAATTTATTTTATTATCTTTCAGGTTTTCAATAAACAGTTATCTCTAGCTGCTAATGCTGCACAACAAAAAATCGATTCTGGGCTTTGGTCGCATATGTTAATTAGTACAAATGTGTTTACAAAAGCAATTTTTACTGTAACTGGTAAAGATATGGCTGTTTTTATAGATCAATGGGTTAGAACTGGTGGACATGCAAAATTTAGTTTAAGTTTTGTATTTAACAGAAAAAGGTATTTATATTATAAATTTTCAAGCAAACAAATTGTATTTCGAATTTAACTTCGGCTTATATTGCAAATTTTTATTATTTATCAACATAAATGTATTACTTAGAAATACAGTAGAATTAGAAATTCGACAAGATACTACAAATCAAAGAGGAATTAGGAAATATGTTGGTCCACTTTTAGTTAATATTCAAGAATTAGACGGCACTTTTAAACATACCTTACAAATTGAAGGTACTGTAGCAAAAGCAGATATAACATGTCACAGTAAAAGTCGTAGAAATAAAAAGAAAAAGATTCCACTGTGTACTGGAGAAGAAGTAGATATGGATCTTTCTGCTATGGAGTAAGTATTATTTTAATATGTTACTATAATTCTAAACTATAATTTAATATTATTTAAGTTAATATTAATGTAATATGATTATGATGTAAACAAATTTTTGTATATAAATTTTTACAGTGATTCTCCTGTGTTATGGATAAGATTAGATCCTGAAATGACACTTTTACGTGCTGTTCAAATTGAACAACCTGATTATCAATGGCAATACCAACTAAGGCATGAAAGAGATGTTACTGCACAATTAGAAGCTATTGAAGCCTTGCAAAATCATGCTACACCAGCTACCCGATTAGCATTGACTGATACTATAGAAAATGAACATTGCTATTATAAAGTTAGATTACGAGCGGCACATTGTTTAACTAAGGTTTCCTATATTTTGAATATTCATATTCTAAAATTATTTATCTATGTGCAGTTTATTTATGTTAATAAAATAACATAGGTTGCTAATGCTATGGTTGCAACATGGGCAGGACCACCAGCAATGTTAGCCATATTCCGAAAATTATTTGGGTCGGCTTCATGTAGACGTATAATTAAACAAAATAACTTTTCAAACTTTCAACATTATTTTTTGCAAAAGGTTTAATTAACATTTATTAATATAGTAAAATATTATATTGTATTTTATATTTTGATAAATTTTTTATGATTTTAGACTATACCTGTAGCCATGGCAGGTTTACGTAATGCTCACGGTATATGTCCGCCAGAAGTTTTAGCCTTTTTGATGGACTTATTTAAATATAATGATAACAGTAAAAATAGATATTCAGATAATTATTATAGGGCTGCATTAATTGAAGCTCTTGGAGCTACAGTTACACCTGTAATTAGTGTGCAGCAAGGGTATAATAAATATTAAAAAAAAAAAATTATTATATTTTTATAATTATATATTAATGTTCTTCTTCAGGACAGCTATTACTGCAGAATCTCTGTCAGTTGATACAAGAGCTATATTAGAGGAAGTAACAAGAAATTTAAATTTGGAAAAATTATTGCCATGTTATAAGTATACAGTTAGTGTTTCTTGTCTGAAAGTCATACGGATTTTACAAAAGTTTGGTCACCTTCCAAGTAATCCTCATCTCTTTAGAGCATATGCTGCATATGGACAATTCATAGGTATACAAGGACTTTTATACTTTCTATTATACACATTAATAATACTATCGTTCATATATTCTTATCATAATTGGTTTAGATGTTAGAGTTGCAGCATTACAAGCATTAGTTGACTTTACTAGAGTAGATGGCAAATGGGAAGATTTAGAATTTTTATTAGATATGATAGAAATGGATCCCCATCCTGGAGTACGACATAGATTAGTGAGACTTATGGTTGAAAACCGACCATTTGAAAGAGCACATAAACATCGATTAGATCGTCCTGAATTGGTTGACCGTATATGGAATTTAATTAAGTATATTAAATTTCAATTGTTATTTATTTCAATCTTTTTATCAAAATCTTTAATATAAACTTATTGATACAGTGGTATGCTTTCTCATGATCCTAAAATTCGATGTGATCTAGTTGATTTATATTACACTTTGTATGGATCAAAACGACCATTCTGCCTTCCTATTCCTGAGCTTGCTGCTATTACTAAACCAAAAAGAACAGGACCTCCAAGTCCAGAACAAGATGTAAGTTACAATGAAAGAAACTTTGCATTATATAAATACCGAAAACAAGTATGACACAAATTATATTTGCTTCAGATAAAACCAAATGTATCACATATAAAACATGAATCATCAATAGTAGAAATCGAAAATGCAAGTGGACCAGGCAAAAGAAAACCTTCTCCACATAGAGAAGTTCCAGGTCCTTCTAATTCAGTTGATTATGGTCCAGAAATAAAGAGACAAAAACAGGTAAAATATATTATGACAAAATAAAACTAGATATTGTTGTCAGTAATCTTAAGCATAAAATTATAATTTTAATTTGTATTTGTATATTAAAAAGGATGATCGAACGCCATCTGTAAATAGTGATGGAAAAGTAAAATCAGAATATTATAGTGATAATTCTGCATCATTACCTGGTATTATGGGGGCACCAGGACCAGTAGGTTTTGAGCCAGGGATGTTTAAAAAAGAAGGAGAGGATCACAAACAAAAAAGTGATTCTGCCAATAAGGTAAAGCATCAAACATTTCTTCAGAAATAAATTAAGTTATTCATTAATATAAACCTCACTAATATATATCATTTATTTTGTAGAATAAGAAAAAGAAAAAGGACAAAAAGAAACATAAACACAAACATAAACATAAACATGATCATAAGCATGGTAAAGATAAAGAGAAAAAAGACAAAGATAAAGATAAAGACAAAGTTAAAGATAAAGAAAAAGATAAAGAAAAAGATAAAACTAAAGATTCTTCAAATTTAAAAATTAAAGAAGAAACTTTAAGCTCAGCCAGTTCCAGTCTCAGTCCAGATGCAACGACTGTTACTAATGAATTTATTTTTCCATAGTAAAATATTGGACAACGTATATAGGCTTTTAAAGCTATCATTGTTTATACCTTATATAATTTTTATATAATTTAAGACCCACATTCTAATACATCATGAACGAGAACGTAAATCATCAATACATGTAAATATGCATTTTTAAATATATTATACAAAAAATATTTTCATTTATTTTGTTAAATAAAATAATTAAAATTAGAACTGTTTTCCTTCTATATAGTATACTATGATTGAATTAATATTTGTCTTTTTTAATGTAAAAGAATAATAGTCATAAATTGGAAAATATAAATATTAAAGATAATTAAAATTGACTTAAATAAGTTTATAAACATATTAAAAGATATGTAACAAAATAAAAAGTTTTATTTTATTTTACTTAAAATTAAAAGGTATTTTAATAGAAAATATAATTCAATAGTAAAACGGTAGTAATCATTTATAGTCATATCAAATTTTTTAACGTTACATCCGACACTAGAGACGCGCTCATATTTAAATACTTCTTACGTATTAACTAGGATGGCGTCTGTGGTGTTGCGGCAATTTCGAAGGGAATAGTGAGTTTTGAAAATTTTGACAACGACCTCGAGAATGGCAGATAATCAACAAAGTAGATTTGAAAAGTCCCTTGGTTTATTAACGACTCGTTTCGTCACTTTATTACAGAAAGCAAAGGATGGCGTCCTCGATTTAAAAGTAGTAAGTGCTTTTATAAAAGCTTAGGTATAAAAAGTTAACCTACTTGCTAGGTTAAGTTGTCGCGGGCGTACACGCCATTTCTAGCTTGCGGGAATTTTGAAATAAGTATCACTAAAGTCAATATTTCAAATCCTTTTATAATATCTTAAAGAACAAAGATTACTTTTATGCTTCAAATTACTCTCATTTAACATTACACAACCAATATGTCGCAAGTTTTAATATCTCAACGTGCTGTCCTACATAACCTATAAAATAGAACACAGATCTTGACTATATTTGATAACATACGATGGTAAATTAATAATGTTATAGGCAGCTGATATTTTAGAAGTTCGGCAGAAAAGGCGAATTTATGATATTACTAACGTTCTTGAAGGTATTGGACTCATTGAGAAGAAAAGTAAAAATAGTATTCAATGGAAGTATGTTTTATTTGTATTCATCATTTATCAAATATTTTGTATATTTCTTTATATTTTTAACATTTTTATTGATGCACTTCTGTATGTCTCATGTAATGTAATATTTTAAATACATCACCAGAGGAGCAGGACCAGGTTGTAATACACAAGAAGTTGGTGAAAAATTAACTGATTTAAAAGATGAAATAAGAAAATTAGAAGATCATGAACAATTATTAGACATGCACACTCAGTGGATTCAACAGAGTATAAAAAATATAGAAAATGATTTGATCAATAGGAAATATGCATATATCACTTATGAAGACGTTAAAGAAAATTTTCCTGATGATTTTGTATTAGGAATTCAAGCTCCTCCTGATACAAAATTAAGTGTACCAAATATAACACAGGTATTTTTTTACTCTCAAAGGAATTTAAATTTAAATAATTTTAAACAAAGATTAAGCACTAAATTTTATTTTGTAACATTGTTATTAGACCTCTGAGGAAGATGATAAAGAAATAAATTATGAAATGTTCCTAAAAAGTAATTCAGGTGAAATTAAGGTATATATGATTCAACCAGAACTAGCTAAAACATACGATAATAAAATATTGGAAATGAGATTACAAGAGGAAGTAAAAGGTACAAAAAGAGGAAAGGAAGAAGAAGAGAAAAAGGAGGAAGCTAATGTTAAACCAAAGAGAAGAGTTGGAAGGTAAAAACAAATTTATAAATTCAATGAAATTTGCTCTATTCGCGTCAAAAATAATAAGATAATATTTCTGACTTGCAAAGAGCATACAATAAATGTCTTGAAAATAGATCTTAAAAGGGGTGAATAGATTTCAAGAAAAAATCTATTCTATTGGTGTAGATCTTACATTTGCATATATTATCTATCAATATAAATTAGTCAATAATTATAATTTAACTACAAATTTTGGTTCATATTTACAGGCCTCCAAAAGGGACCATTAAACCTGATCCTGTTATATCTGATGAAGATGAAGAAGATGATGCAGAATTAATAGAAGCAAAGATAGTACTTCGGGATGTTAGTACATCAGGTGAATAATACTAACTTCTAAAATATAAATATAGTGATCACTCTAATTTTATTAAATTATTAAATTAAATGATATATAATTTCAGATATTGCTCAAAAAGATTTAGAATTATTTGATCAAATTTATTCTGACAGTAAGTAAAAAATTAATGATAAAATTAAAATGGATAAGTAATTATAAATATTGATATAATTTTATAAATTTTATTTTCAGTTTATGGACCATTAGTAAGATTAAGTCCACCACCCAGTGAAAAAGATTATCACTTTAATCTTAGTGAAAATGAAGGAATTTGTGATTTGTTTGATATTACAGCAAAATGAGTAATATGTTGTATAGTTTAAGTGATTGGATGGTTTGGACTGTGCCAATAATATGCAAAATTGCAAAAAAATTTGTTGACAATTTCTGAAGGCTGTTCTATGTATATAATTTTAAAAAATGGATATGAATAATGATCATTGAATACATGCAGTATTTTTTTATTAGTAGAAATAAAAAAAATAATACAGATTATAGAAAAAAATATTTCTAACAGTTAGTTCTGTTGGATCTTTATTTAATTAAACAATAAGAATTCTAAATTTTGACAAATTGTTTATAATCTATGACACGTGATTTCTATAAGTTTATTTACAAATTTTATCCTTGTGTGCATACAAACGAAAATATGTGTTTATTTATAGTGATTGCATATAAGGAAAGTATTAAAAGAAGAAATATTTTTATGATGAGCAAATTAGCATTGTTTTTATAAACTTTGTATATGTCTGATTAAATTACGTAATGTTTTTTTAGGTATTTGTTTACATAAAAATTATTTGAGACAATATAAAATGTACATTCTGTATAATTGTGTGAATTTGATTTTTTAGAATGTTTATGAGATCATCATGGTTTATTGTAAATGAGTACATGTGTACTTGTACTCTTTTTATAATGTATTTTCCATGTTGTATATTATATCTTTGTTACTGCATTCAATGACACTAATTAAGTTTGTGAATATTATAGTTATTTAAGCAAAAATAAACTTAATGGAAACAAGGTACAACTAAAGAGACCAAGAACCCATAATTTACTTTATAATAAAGTCATGTTTCAACACTGTTATATATGTGCTATATAATTATAGAAAAACAGTTTAATCTATAAAGTGTTTTATTTCAAACCTTTTCACATCCTTTTTAAACTATACTGATCAATCTACTCCTTATTTCAAATGTCACTGACGTCAAGCATTCCAATATTATTGTGCTCTCGTTACACATTGTTATCGACATCTTTGATTCATACGTAATTAAAAGACGATGTGTAGTCACTTATATGATATATTAAACTATCGGAAAACTGTACACGAAAGACACGAAATTACCAAGGACAGATAAGAATGGATCGACCAGTTTCGTCATCGTTGGTACTTTTGCGCGTGTCGAATATAAGTCTCGTCTCAACGATTGCCAGTATGTACGTGTTTCCGTAGTAGTGAATCATTTCCAGATGTGTCAACTTTACAGGTTTGGTGTTTCAGACAAATTCGCGGTGCAGCGAATTTCCACGCGTCACATTCAAACAAACCGCGGTAATATTATCAACATTTCAACCCTTTATCAAGGAAAGGTATGAAAAAAAAGATATACGAACAAGAAAATTTATGATGTCCTTTGAAATTGTTGCAATGTTCTAAGTTTCAATGACACTATCGCTTCTAATAGCTTATCAGTGCATTTAAAATGATTTGAAAAATATAATAGATGATATTTCAAGTGACATGTGTAACTTTCTAAAAATTTTTTCAGCTATACGTAAGTACGTAGAAAAAATTATTTCTCTACTTCTGAAACACTGCGCATACTCTTTTGTTTGGCGCGTAGCATCAGTTATTCCGAACTGACTTATTACGTGCTGTGAACAAAAAAGCATGAAATTTATAAAATTTTTTGGAACAAACTAATACTAATATAATAAAAATTGTTTAATTATGTAATGTACGTTAACATACAAACGCACACTAAACAATAGTAGTTTGGATTTTTTATTTGATTGTTCATGTTGAAAATTTCATTTAATTTGTATATACATCATTTCAACGATTTTATAAATATTTATAATTAAAGTTACTTGATAATATCATATTTTACTTAATAATTAAAATTGTTTGTATTTCAGTGATTACTGCAAAAATGCGTATTATTTTTATAAAATTTCGCGAAGTATCGCAAAAGTATCCAGTTGTAAGAGGAATGGCTTCTTATGCTATCATATGGCCGACAGGAAGTTTAATACAACAAAAATTAATAGGAAACGACGAACTAAATTACATACAAGCATTAAGATTTAGTTTATATGGTGGGTTTTTTGTAGCTCCAACACTATATTGTTGGTTAAGATGCTCTTCATACTTTTGGCCAAAATCAGACCTGAAATCTGCAATTACTAAAGTATATTAAAATTAATTAAAATAGTCATGGTTTACGAGATATAATATTAATAATTAATAATATTTTTTTATAGGCTTTAGTAGAACAAGTCACATATAGTCCTGCTGCAATGTGTTGCTTCTTTTTTGGCATAAATTTACTTGAAATGAAACCAGTAGCTGAATGTCTTGAAGAAGTTAAACATAAATTCTGGCCTACTTACAAAGTAAAATATATATGAATAATGTAAAACTTATATTACAAATAATAAAAGAGATTACAAATAATTATCTTTTTTAGGTTGGTGTTTGTGTATGGCCCATTTTACAAACAGTCAACTTTTTTTTGGTTCCAGAACATAATCGTGTTGTTTATGTAAGTTTCTGTAGTTTAATTTGGACATCTTTCCTTGCTTATATGAAAGCTTTGGAAGCAAAGAAGAAACAAAATGATATAAAAAATGACAATAAATTAAGCAATGCTAAACCTTCTAGTCAAGCAGAAGATAAAAGTAAAAAGGTATCAGTTATACGATGAAGATTTATATGAAAATTATTTAGCTCAATTTATTAATTTGTGTACATGCATATGCATATATACATATATATATGTGTGTGTGTGTGTGTGTGTGTGTGTGTGTGTATAAAAAATATACAATACAGCAAGGTCAATTGTAATACTTGTTACCTAAGGTACAAAATAAATTTAAATATTTATGCATATGTATGCATATGTTTAGATATGATTTATGTGTTTGTACTATAGTAGATGTAATTACGAACTGGTAACAGTTAAAAATTATGAAAGTATATAGAAAATGCTTTTATTGTTCAATTTTTTAGTGATATTTATTGTGATAGTGTTGATAGTAATTTATATTTATTGTTAATAAATAATAAAAAATAAATAATTGTTAAACAACCCGTGTTTCCTTGAAATCAATTTTTATACATTAATTTCAAATTATCAATCGTATCTAAAAATTAAATTTTAATATTATATTGATTTGGCGCTTTTATCGATTGTACTAGGTAAATTCAATATGGCTGCATTGAAGATCACAAGTTCAAATTATTGCAAGCTATTAAATACAAGTCAATATTCTTAATAGACATTATTAATAAGAAACATGTTATTTTTTGAGTATATTTCGAAAACAAGTATCATTAATTGTGAAGTGTAATTCGATTACACAAATAAAAACATAGTGAAACAACATGAGGTTATGATATGAGTCTTATATGTAGCGATTTGAAGTTTTGACAATTTAATTTTTTTAAATATTATACTGAGATATGACTCGTTCTTCTGTATCAGCACAATGTGATTTATTTGCATCTTATATGGATGGAATTCACGTTAAAATTGCAGAAGCTTATAAACCTCCAAGAAAAATATGTTTACCAGCTGCATATAATAATAAGCTACCAGATGTATCGAAATTAACTTATGATTTCAATTTGGAACGATCAGTATTGGAAAAGGTTGAGTACTATTTCAACAATTTATGAAATTTAAATTTATTTAGAGACTAATTATATCTTATAATATATGTAAATCGATTTTGTAATCTTTCTTATTATAAAGGAAGCAATTACTAATATTAAAACAAATTTGATTGAAATGTATATTTGTATATTATTTATTGAAATTAATTATTATAATTTGCAATAATTTGATGTATAGATGACAGAATGGCGGAATGTTAGACAAGCAAATAGCAAAGCTCGGCATGCACGATTAGATGAGAAAAGAAAGAAACAAAAAAATGAATTTTCACCCCCACCACCACCTCCATTACCTGATACTTCAAAGCCTATAAATGCACCTGTGCCAGAAACAACAATTCTTACTCCACAACCTTTATCTCCACCTGCTAATGACCTTCAAGATCATGTAAAAGCAAATGGTCTTGATTTTGCTGATTTTGATAATGATACAAGCAGTCCATTTGACAACATGGAACTAAAAACAATCAATGATATGGAAGAACTTGCTCAGGTCAATAAAATATCTTTACTTGCTGTCATAATTAAATAATGAATGATAAAATGTAACATATGTATTGTTCATATTCTAGGTATTACAACCTACATCTCAGTGGGTACCTCCAGCAAAATTAGAAAGTTTATTGAATGATTTAACAGTTAATGATAAATCAAAAACTCATATACAAAAAAAGAATGATAATGTCAAAAGTGAAACAACTGATCAGAAAGAAGGTAATGAACAAGAAAATATCAAACATCGAAGTGTATCTGCAATTGTACAAGAACTTCAAAGAGATTTAAAAAGACCAATCTTGGAGGTAATAGCATTTTTTATAAAAATGATGTACTTTGAATAATTTTTGCTGTTCAACTATTTATCCATTTTATATATGTATATATATATATATACACAACAGGATTGGAAACCTTGGCCAAATTTAGAAGGCCCTGACACTAGCACTCATGAAACATTAAAGCAAGAAGAACCAATAGTAGCAAATCAAGTTGCACTTGTGAATTTATTATTGGATTTAACAGAAGAAGATAAAAAGTTGGCTCGACATTTGAACGACATGGGTTTTCCTTTATCGAGAGCTGCTCGTGCTATACGCGATTTAGGTGGTCAAGATAATAAAAAAATTGTAGAGTATTTACTAGCTGTTCAAGCTTTAGAAGAAATCGGAATTTCTGGGGAGGATGCTGAAAAAGCTCTTGCCCTTACAGAATACAATCAAGAAAAAGCCAAAGTTTACTATGAAAATCTATGTATCTTACGAGATTTAGGTTTTCCTGAAGAAAGGGCATCTGCTGCGCTTTTAAAATGTAATATCGATCGTGATAGAGCTTTAGATCTTCTCATAGCTTGAATGTGAAATTATATAAAAAATATTCATATGGTCTAAACAAATTGTTCACTATATGAAAGATATAAATTTTCTTAATATGCAAAATAATTAAAAAATGAAGTTATAAAAAAACATGTAATTTAAAAATGGTCGTGTAATGAATAAAATAAGCAATTCTTTTGCATACTGAAAGTTTAAAATGCTAGCCACTGTAATAGAAAATAATATGTAAATGTTTTGATATTAACCCTTTGCATTCCGTTGTGGCTACTATGGCGATAAAGGAGTTAGTAGCTTACTTAACAATCATACCCCAGCGGCGACAACGGAGTGCAAAGAGTTAATTTATACTGATCATTACTGAAAAATGTAAATGATACAATGTCTTTTAGTCTGATTTGAAAACATTAAATTCTTATTCTTTTAATGCAATGTATTTATAGAATTATTTTCTAAACAAGATATCATTAATTTATACAATTCCAGGTATGTTTTATTATCATATTGCATTGTTTAGAAAATTCAGCTGCACATCTGAAAAATTAAATCTGATATTATATATAAATCTATATATAAGATTTATCTTACCTTCTGCAGCAACATAATGCAACTGTTGTTATAGACTCTGTATAATAATCAACACCAATAATAATCCAAGTTTCTGTAAAAATCGGTTGTTGACATTGAAAATTCACACAAATACTAACTGGACCATTCATTAGCAAATTACATGAAACATTAAAATCAAGTTTCTGGTAATTCTTTATTGTAAGTGGTTCATATTGAACATTTATGCTTATAGGTGATACAGAAATATTAAGTGTATGTTTATACCTAAAATTCAATATCAAATAGTTTGAACTTAAAATTCTGGAAGATAATGAACAGTTATTAGAAATAATGTGAATGTGACAAAATAAGAAATTACCTTTCAGTATAGACTTTTCTCAAAGCTAATTCCCATAAAGAAATAACTTTATTTTCATGTACATTATGAACTTTTAAGAGCTGACGTGGTAATTCAATTATGGGATCAGTATCTTTTTCATGCAATGCATTTATTTTTATCTTTAATTTTATATTTGTATATAATGTAGTGTTATCACGATATTTTGTAAAACATCTATAGTTGTATATTTGTACGCAGTTATAGATCCAATAATAAATACAAACAAATTTATTTTAATGGAATTTAATGTATCTTATATATTTATATTCATGTTGCAAAATGTACATACCCATGGTTCAAAATATTTCTTTGAGTTTGAACATATGAATGTAGAACTTGAGATGTTAACTGGTAAAGGAGTGGATATGACAAATAATTTAAATGTACATTTGCATCAAATCTAATACAAGGAGATGATACAAATCCATTTAATGGTAAGTACCTTAGCCTATATAAAAATTATTCTGCATAAAATAAAAGTATTTAAAATGTTAAAAAAATTTATTAATAATAAACCAATTTGGTTCAATGTCTAGTGATTATTTAATGTAACAACCTGTTAGAACGTACAGAAATTATTGACAATTGTGGAGACAAAGTCAGTCTATTTGGAAGTTCTTTTAAATAATTATTATCCGCATTTAACTCCTTTAATTTAGGTAAAGAACCAATCCATTCTGGCAATGCAACAAATCTATTTCCACAAATAGACAAGATTTCTAAGTTAAGCATTTGATTCATTTCTACAAAAATTATATGAAAGATCAAATGAAATAAAATTGTAAACCTAAAAATTCTTGTAACTAAAGACTTACCGATCGGTAATTTATTTATCAAGTTTTGATTTAGGAATAAACATTTTAAGCTAACTAAATTTCTTATACAAGGAGATATTTGCTCTAACTTATTAGCACTCAAATCAAGGACTGTTAATTGATTCATTTGACAAAGTTCTAAAGGTATTTCTTTGATAAAATTTTCATATACATATAAATTAGTAACATTAACAAGTTCTACAATCCATGGAGGTAAAGTAGTAAGTTTATTCCATTTCAAATATATTTCTTGAATGTGACTCCCATAAATCCTTATCTCTTCAGGAAATTCCACAAGACCTCTACAATTCCAGTGTAATATTACCTTATCTTTTATTTCTTTCACCATTTCTGTAGAATCTGAGTCCATTTTTAAATAAATTTAATCAAAATTGTTTTCATATATAAAACTGAGGGAGTAAATTCTGAATTTCTGAGGCAGGCAGTTAACCTTCAAAGTATGCTCAAAATAACTTTAGCCTGCTTGAAAGATTTATATTAGTAACCTATTATATAGCAATATTATTTTATATTGTAGTTTGTAACTGTCTTGAATTCATAATTCATGTATTTACAACATACAAGTTTTAAAAAATAATGAAATATTACAGTCATTGTCATAAGAAATAAACATAATCTCTTAAAAACATTTTAAATTAAAAGTATTTTATAATAATTAACGATACTACAGTTAATACTTTTAATACAAATTTTAGAATATAATAGATTCATTTATTAAAACACATTATTAACGATTTAATTCATTAATAAATATATTGACAAAAGCAGGTTTTATTTTATACTGAAAATTTTTACTTACTACTTTTTCCATAATGCTGTGAGAGATAGTAGATAAATAACAATATGTGTTGTTGTTGCATATTTTATTTCATTCTATTTTATCAAATATGTTGTTAAAAGAATTTATCTTTAACATATTATATAAAATTTTATGAATGATATAAGTTATGTTAAATAGAAACATTGGACATGAAAAACTTTTGCAGTTATTTTGTGTATGGAAAAATGTTGTATTTATACATTATTATGCGTGAATTTTATCAATAACTTGCACTTTATGATAATCAATACATATATACTAAACATTATACGCTATTACTGTATATACGTAGCTGACAAATTGTACCCTTTCATGCATCTATTATAGTACTAAAGTGTTATATTTTATAGAGGGCATAAATAAATACTTCGATTTAAATATCATGTATTAACTTTTTTATTACTAAAATTTAAAATTTATCACAATAAATGATAAATAGTTATTTATCAAGTGTTAAATAGATGCTTTGTTCATTAGATCCATTATTTTATAACGAATAGTTTTTAATTTATATTTACATTTAATGGCATATTGTCTTTTTTATTTATAAAATTAAATTAATCAAATTGGTTAAAAATTAAATAATGGATTAGAACATACAAATTTGATTGTATGAAGAACATAAATATATTTAAATTATATATCTACATCACATCTTAATTCTGTTCGGTTCTACCAGGAGACGCTTGTAGCAATCGAAGTCATTTACCACTCTACTCAAAATCTAACCTAATTTAAACGTAACTAAACGTTTTATAAATAATTGTATAATCTTAAACATATTTTCCTAAAAGTTCACTTGTTACACGTTATAAAAACAAAGTGTAGTTATCAGCATCTATAACTAAATAACATTTTCTTTGGTACAAGTAGAGTATTGGACAATAAAAAATTATGTTGTACTATTCGTTCTGGAACATTGTACAGAAGAATCAACAATAAATTAATACGATAAAAAACGGATATCTTTTATCATAGATTTGTTATTTACAATACTCGACAATGTATAAACGTAAATTTGATGAGTTGGAAGATAATAATATTAATAAACCACCATTAAAAAATTCATTAGACTCAGATGAAGAAGATGATGAAGTTAATGATGACAATTATAATATAATGAGTGATGATGAATTTGAAGGTATGTAAAAATTATATCACAATTTGTTTACCATAATGTTAAATATTAATATTTAATCATTAGGTGCTGAGGATGGACCAAGTGCACCAGAAACGAATGTGGGGTTTACAGCATTTAATATGAAAGAAGAATTAGAAGAAGGACATTTTGATAAGCAGGGCCATTATCTTTGGAATAAAGAAAAAGAAATTAGAGATAATTGGTTAGATAACATTGATTGGATGCAGGTTTGTAAAGTTAATTTATTATATGATTTTAATGTAATGATATGTGACTAAAATTAATTTATTAAATTTGTACAATTATATTATGAACTGAGTCTTTGAAGTTCTATAGTTTAAAATAAAATGCAAATTTGTTTTGGTGTTTATAATTTTTGTTGCTCTTGGACTTTTGCATATTGAAATATCAGAATATGTTTTCATACAGCAGACAAATAGAATTATCTGTAAACCTGCCTTGTTTACTCAGTGATGCAAAACATTACTAAGGCATAATCTTGATAGATCAAACCGAGTTCTACAGCAAGTGTAAAGAAGAAAAATGAAAGCGGTAAAACACATGGACTAGCAGATAGCGATAGTGAAGATGAAGATCCAGATATTATGTTCAATCCAATTCCGATGTATAAACAAATATTGGAATACTTACAACCTGGAGAAACTGTTTCTAAGGCTTTATGCAGGCTTGGTAGTATTTTCGATTCATTTTTAAATCATTAAATTCTATTAAGAAGAATATGTTTCTTATTAGAACTATTTGCAGGTAAAGGAAAAAAGAGTTTGACTACTGCAGAGAGATGGAAGAGGAAACAGGAAAAAAAACCAATAGAAGATGATCAAAATTCTGTTAGTATAACAAAATTAACAGAATTGGCAAATGAAGTGCTAACTCGTACTGGAAATATGGATATATATCAAGAAAGTTATGAGCAAATAAAAAAAAAGGTAACTATGTTTAATAAAAGACAAAGAAAACACTGATGTAAAATGCTAATTGTATTAAAAATTCCTAACATATTTACTATGATATAATTTTTATAGGTTGAACAAGGGGAAAAGCATGCTCATCCTTCAAAGCAGGAAGCAGAATTAGATATGTATGCTGATGACTTTGATATAAAAGAAAAAGCAAAATTGGGTGGAAATGAAAGTAATCATATTTTCTAAGAAATTATAGATTCTTTCTATATAATTTTTTGATATTACAAATAATGTTTATTTTGTTTCTTAGGTAATGTTAAAGAAATGGATAATTCTGAAGATAAAGAGGAAGAAATATCATGGGAATTAAAGTGGTCACAAGATGAAAATGCAAAAATTCATGGTCCACATACAAGTGAACAAATGCATGCATGGGCAAAAGAAGGATATTTTAAGAGTGGAGCTTGGGTACGAAGAACGGGTCAACATAATCAGTTTTATAATGCTGCAAGAGTAGATTTTGAACTTTACCTGTGATGTTTTGTTTTGCTATAATCATTTGATAAGAGAACTAGTAATTGTAATTTTTTTTATGATAAATTACTAAACTAGTGCTTTGATTTTAACGCAATCGGAAATAATGTTTAATGTAATGAAGTATAGACTAATTATGTATCGTTATGTACATTATTGTTGTAAACTTGGGTAATCTAATATCCTGACATTTTGAAATTATAATATAATGAATATCAAAACTAAAAGTTATCTCTATCTGTATTTAAAGAAGAGTATTGTCAGGAATAATACTGACTGTTAACTCATTTTATGTAACTAAAATGTATAAAATAACAATTGTCCATTCTTGATACATATCGCGTCAATAAACTTATTCAAGAAATACTTTTATTTTTTTTCCATGTATGTATTATTTTATCCTAAAATTTAAACTTTAAAGATATTTTACATACATATCGTTTAACCCCTGCAGGTACAATATCGTGTGAGACTCATGGTAAGGAAATCGGGCCAAACATGCCAAACATCGAAACTTAAATCGTAAGTCAAGGGGTTAAGGATGTGTTTTGAAAGTATTTGCTGCTGTTTTATTACGGACCATTCGGTATGGTACTTAAATCAAGAAAAAATTGAAATTACAGGAACTTCCTGTGCATGCTCAATAATGGTAGGAGAATACGGGTGGCAGAATTTATGGTTCGCGCAACGCAGTATTTTTAAATACGATTTTATCCCTAAAGTAAATCTATTTGTACCACGCATAAAAACCTTGCGACCATCGTTATTTACCCAACAGAGCGTGATACGGCATCTTTTACATTCGTACTTTTAAATTTTTGAGAAAATAAATTCTGAAAAGTCTGTAATTTCTTTCTTGTTGTTTATTTTAGGTATTCAATATAAAGTTAAAAATAAGCGAATTTTCAATAAAACATAAAATTATTGTATTGTATTCAAAGCTAAGCACATAAAAACATTTTGACACATAAAACGCAAGATATAGGATAGCTACACGTGATATTCTATGTACATATACAACAAAACAACGCAACATAAAAAGGATGTAACAGGCACTATGCTATGTATTAGACAAATAGCACACGTGTTACTGAATATACAATATAACTTTATTAGATATCTTGAACATTTTTATTAGCAATGTATGAAATTTCTATATGATTACTTAAAATATTTCGTGTATGTAAGTAAATCGTACATACATATTTACCCGTGAGTATGCATGTATATACGTACTACTATACTGGTAGTAGTATGTATATATTTTTTAATTTTTATATATATATAAACGAAACGAAAGTTCGTTCTAGTAATGTTAGCTTCGTTACAAAAATTTATGGAACTCCTCTGATCGTTAATCCAAAATTGAAAAATCCTGCACATGATCACGATACGTTTGTCGAAAATACCAGAATGCACATGATGTAACGTAGTACGTAATATTATTTTAAACGTCGTGAAATATTAACGTCATATTAGATTTAGTTTATACTCGACATCTGCCGTTTTCCGCTGACGAGGAATATTTCAAAGAGACTTTATCAAATTCAAAAATCTATCGCGCAAAGAAGGAATAATTCGCAATATTTTTGCGGAAATGACGAATTTCATACTCAACATTTCTACGGAAAATTTTGCGAATCAACAAAATACAGAAATCATCAATTTCGCATCGTTATTTTCAACCTTTTTCTCTATACGTATTTAATAAACAAAATTTAAAATATTGGAAAGTAAGAAGAAAAGAGAATGACGGAAACAAAAAGGGTGAAGCTAGTGGCTGTACATACAAAACGGCTACGAACACACGAACCTATTATACTAATATTTACAGGAAAAATTCACATAGATACAGGAGGGTACATTCACGACGAAACAAGTTACACTGACTTTTTCTTTGACTTTCGCAGTACAATTAGGATGCAAATGGTCAGGAAACAGATCAGACGGGAGTCGAAGAAAAGGTTAAGAACGACACAAACAGTAGACACATTCGTAAGCCGGTTTCATAAACGCACGCAAAATACGCAAAGTGTAGTAACGAAGTATACGAATTGTTTCGTTTCTTCATTAGACGTATGAAGAAAAACAAACGTTCGCATCGATATCGTCTTAATCCTAACCTTAATTAGTCTACGGATTACTATAGCTCCATTAAACGTCAGATACATGAGTATGCGGCTGAATTAGCAAGCATCCTGATGTTTGAGAAGGAATCGCTCGAATACCATAGAAATTTCACGATCGTATAAATAGGAAATTGTTATAATTACGATAAATTGCCTTTCATTTGTTACTCGAGGATTAATGTAGTAAATCGGTGTTAATTTGCTCCGGTTCACGAGTTATCTCGTACTTTATGAATTGACAGCAGATTACGATATAGCTATCTCGAATTCACACTTATTCCCTGGGGAATCGTGGAAATTTAATTGAACGTGATATTATAATTTATACGATGTCGATCTGCCTTTTTGATACTGGAGGTATCAACAAACGAAAACGACATTCAATTTTATCTATAATTTCAATATCTTTCTCGTTTCGTTTCATCTCATCTCATTTTTGATTTTTACAATTTATTTTGACACATTTAATTCTATAATACTTAATGTTTAAATAATACTTTCGAAAATGACGTACTTAACGAACTTTCTAGAAATTTTGCAATATTCACGACAGTTGATAACACACATTACACAGATTCAAACCAATTAACCGAAGACGTTGCTACCGATGCATGTTGGGACACGAAGCCCTAAGTACGTCTCATTAGCGACGTATCCGAGAAATTTTTCTCAAACACAGCAGGAAATCCCGTTCTCCGGCGACATCGTTCATTAGCCGCATTAGCATCGATGAAGACTCGAGTGAACGGGAGACCAGTATTCGAAATAATCGTGCAACCACGCTCGGTCATCATCTTCATCGCAATACACGAGACCTTATCGCGTCGATTTACGAAGCAGTCGGACTGCATTTAAAAAGGACCCCGAAATCGTTTAACAGGTGTATTTTCTCGCATCGTTGTTATGAAACCGGCGGAGATATTATCATAGGCAGACAGACAGACAGACAGACAGACAGACAGATAGATAGATAGACAAAGTGTGAGAGACAGATAGAGGAGTATCAAATGGCAAAAAACAACGAACACTGAAGACGGACGTTTACGCGCCTGAGGAACGTGATGTGCATTCGACGTTGCGCAGCTCTTGTCTCTATGTACATACAAAAATAGCCGTCGATGGGGCACGCCTCGAACGCATCGAAATCCCCGTGACACGAAACCGGAAAGGAAAAAAGGGGAGTGAATAAAAAAGAAAAGGGGAGATAGAAAGGGACACCGCGAAGAACGGGAAAGGAAGCGGACAGAGGGAAGCTGTTTTCGTTTTTCTCGCGCGATCCACCGGCTCTCTGGCTGCACAAGCAGCCTTCCTCTTTTTCATCTTCCTCTTCTTCGTTCCTCGGACGAGATCCATGTAGCTTGACTAACTACCATGACTAACGAGTCGGGCGAAGTGCCACCGTGGAATCTTGGCTAACCGACCGGGAAAGTGGGTCCAATGAAACGCTTCCAACTCTAATATTTTGGCCTGTCAGAGGGTGGTCCGGTGGCTCGCTTTTTCTTTCTGCCGTTCGTTCTTTTCATTTTCAGTTTCCCTTTCTTCCCTGCTTTTTTTTCTAATTGCTCTTTAATCTAGGTTTCTTTCGCTCGAAACTTCCCTCCTACTGAATTCCAGAGCCATTTTCTCTGCCCTGCTTCCCTTCTGTCCTCGAACGCTCGCTCAATCCGAATCGAATTAATCTGGAAGAAACAGAATGGTCGAAATGGAACGAACTTACGTATCACGTTCTGTGATCGGTTTAGATGTATGCATAAATTTGTATTTGTACCATTAAACGTGCGGGAGTATTATTTGCGTGCAGAGGTTTTCCGTATTTTACTTGTCTTATTCGGTATTCTGTAATATATAAAGTATATCTTTGATTATATAGTCAGATGTAAATATAGTCTCGAAAATCGATTTATTTCTACCGTGTAACCTATTTTGTGTAAGCACTACTATGTAAAACTTAATCATGGTTACTGATAAATGAAAATTCAAGTATTTCAAATTTAACCTAACATATGTGTAACATTAACGTCACAATCTTATTCTTGCGGCTTCGTTACGTCAACGTTATGCACACGCGAATACAAGTCAAATGCAAACATTTAAACCAACCAATCTGACGAGTTCATGCTATTCACAGCACTCGTATATAACATGAATCTCCGGATATCAGATGTCCATAATTTCCGCAGCCGAATTATAAAACTTCCGATAATTTCGCGTTTCACTCTATCGGTGTCGAACGGTGGAAAATGAAATGGGAATTGAAAAATCGTCTCAACCAAATACCCCATCTAGAGGTATATATCGTTACTACTAATTGTAAGTTTTCAGCCTGACCGTGACATCTAGTGATCGGTCGCGAACTTCGCTATTGAAACTTCGAAACTTCCACGTGATGGACGGTCGGACGGTAGTCCGTGAACGACAGTCGTGAGCTTCTGGGTCAGTGAAACCATAACACGGTTCGATGCCGCTGTTTTCATCCTTGATTCGAGATTCGGATACTTCGGGAGATAAAGAATTCTTCACGGCTATCCACCGACCGATCACCGAGGGGAATACTGAAGAAATACGGGAGAAAAGCGTCGAACGCGTTGTGAGTAATTTCACTGTATTTGGCTCGCGTTCTTACAGGTGGTGCGAATATTTTATTTCGGCTGTTTCGATTCTTTATCTAGCCTGCTGGCTATCGGGCTACCGAGCCCGATCGCCAGCGTAAATTAAGCGGTCTGGTATCAGGGGAATTGCTCAAATTCGAACGCCATGGGCTAGATTCAGTCGCAAATTCTATTTCAATCCTCTTCCCATGACGCATTTCGACCATTTGTACATTCTTGAAATCCCGGAGCCGGTCGGTTATATGAAACGTAAAACTTTGAGGGGAAACTTCAATGAAATATGATTATTATTTACCGTTAACGGGTCTTTTACTTTCGAATTTCATTCCGTAGTCCGCGTGTGCGTGGTGTTAAAGTTTTATGCGAGTTCATTTTACGTGGCGGTTATACCGTCAAGAATTTAACTCTCGATCGATATGCTGTGTATGGGTCTGATAAAAATCGTTCACGCTACCTACCAAAAGCTTTAAATTAAATTCAAGAAACTTCGAAGTAAGTCGAGAAAGTTAAATTACCGCGAAAAATGAAAAATACCTCGATCATACGTGACAGTTTTAGAATTTATAAATTCATCTTATGAACACAAATATAACCTAACAGCTATGTTACATACTATACTATACCTTTGTATCAATACTTGAATTATTTTGAAATTATTGAAATACTGTAAAACCGATGATTGGTACAAAAAAGTGATAGCAAGCAACAAACCTGTCACGAATCTCTTCAAGATCATTTCCAATGAAGTCAAACGATGTCGTATCTTCAAATCACAAATATCCTAACCTTAAAAAAGCAATCGATTCGTTTCATCGTTCTGCGTAATTCGATATATCGAATATATTTAATCTCTGAAATTAGACAGGCAGCTGGTAAAAAAGAAATCGTCCAGATCGATCGAGAATAATATTTTGAAAGCATAATACTCGTTCTGATCTCGTTCGACGAATCGGTGGTTATTATTCCGACGCAAACGTCATAGAATTACTATTCCCGAAATTCTACAGCGATCCAGGTTTTTGAGCGAGCGGACGCGGGCGAAGGTTTACCGTGGAGAATTGAATATTTAACTTTCGAACTTCCCCTCGAGGAGCCATCGCGCTGGGAGACTTTAATCAGCAGGAGACGCGTTGCGTTTCGAGGACGCGCTCCACTGCAAAACGCACACTGCCGAGTTATCCGGGCAGTCGTACCAACGGATTCGCGTAATGACACCATATGACACATGAAATCGTCACGATTGGCTACGTTCCTGTTTATACATTCTAACGTTTAAACGAATCAATTAATTTTAGATAACTGGGTGATAAACTGTAGTAAAATAGTAAACTTTAATAGAAGAATTTATATGTTACGAAAGCTTGAAAATTCATGACAAAATCCTTTAGATCGAAAATTTTTGATTTTCGTTATTATTCAGGTTATGAATTTTTCGTATCGTTTAAAGTTATTGTTTTCGTACTTTGTCCATCTAGAAATGGACCACCTTAGGAGAAGGAGGTTAAACAGCGCAAAATGGAGAATTAATCAGAATATACTATCACGAGTGTAGTTGTTTCACGAGAAATCATCGAATATTCAGTTACTCATGATCGGAAACGTACACATGGATACGTGAATTCGAAGGTTCGACGCTTTTCCGGTGATGCTTCGTGATGGATACGTAACGCATGTTCTTGTTGATGCATCAAGTATATTTTTTCTCGTATTTAAAACGTAACATCTTTCCAAACTTAACATCATAAATTAATAAATAAATATATATATATTATTTATGTATATATATATATATCATCATCATCATCATCATCATCATCATCATCATCATCATCATATATATAATACGCCTTAAGTTTGTATAAACGTGAAATCTCGTCTCTAAATATACCTTGGTGTATTCGTAGTGTGTTCCTAATGGTAAAGGTCGCGTCTATTATTGCTTCAATTTACAATCTGCTCCTGGAAACGGTCCTTTTCGCTCGACGTCAGCGGAGCCAAGCGGAAAGAGAAAAATGGACCGTCCAGTTACGAATTCTAACATAGTGTCTTTTGCTCCCTTCGGTGTGTACGTGTGTTATGCCCGTGTTTATGCGGTTAATACGTGTCTGTATAATCGTGTACGCCTTATGTAAAGTTATAAAGACAAAGATGAGGGAAAAAGTGAAACGTTGGGATAAAGGGACGCGTGGTTGACAACGCCGTGCTCCTTCGTTCTTCTCAACTCGTTTCTAACTTATGTAAATCCTTGTGCTTGAGGTAGCCGGCCGTTTCGCAAAAATCTTGTCAAGGTTCCCTCCGGCCTGGATCTCCGAACTTCTCCAGAATGCGAATCGGCAAAGAGAAACACGACGACTATAGAAGGACAGTTAAATGAATGGAGCGGAACGGATGGAAATGGGAATAGAGGGGCAAAGAAGAAAGGGACAGACAGGGCGAAGACGTGAGCGAGAGGGGAGGTAGTAATCTTGGGACGCCTAGTCTAGGAGGGTTTAAACGGACTAACGAGACGCTGCTTTGATTTGATTTGTCACTACGTTTAAATGCGAAATGAACGCCCGCCTCGGAACACGGCGCGTAGCATTTGCACTGAACCAACGGAATCCGACGCAATCCGTGAAAATAAATACGTTCCCGTAGCCATCTCCCACCCCGTACTACCCCGTGGCCCCGTGTAATACAACGGTGGCCACGTTTATGCGCCCGTACAATTTACATTCCGAGTCAGATTGCGTTCCCCCAGCGAAAATGCATTCTGCTGTTCTCCAGCGGCGCGACTATCTCTCGGAAGACATTTCATTTTCAACTCGTCCACCACGAGTGTGTCTAGCCGGCATCTGTCCCCGTTCTGCCAGGTGAACGGATCCCTGCTATCGTTTGGTGTACGCGTTGCTGAACGATTCGGACTGATCCACATTGCATCCCCATTGCATCCCCATTGCATCCCCATTGCAACGCGTTTGACTTCATCCCATGGCGAACGGGGTGCTCCAGCCAGACAGCCTTCCCTATGGACGACAGAATCGATACTTTCGGTGAAGGAAGGAAGGATTACCGTATCACGCTTGATCTCGGCCAATCAGTTAGAATAGATCCAGCCCTATTAAGGCCTCATCCACCTCCTACCCCATCTTCTCTGTTCTCTTTTAGTTCGCGACAACGATAGATTCAGCGCGCGAGACTGTCGTCGTTGGAATTTCTTTCGTGATCCCCGAACGTGACCGAGGCACGAGCCGAAGCTAGCACGCGTCACGGGGTAATCCGTTTTCCCTGTGAATCTTCTTTCCGGGATTCCATAAGTGTTCCTCGAACGTACGCAGCTAGACGGCTCGTTGCGCTCGGGTCACGACGGTTTCGGTGGGTCCGACGCCTGCTGCGTCGTACGACTTTCAGTAGTCTCCGGGGGGTTCGTAGAGCGAACCCCTGTGTTCACATCGCACAGCGTTAGACGCTCCCGTGACCTCAGACGAACACGACATGAGGTTTCTGCGGAAGCGGAGGTTCGTAATCGTAATCGTACTCGTAGTCATAACCGTAGTCCAACCGGTGAACGTTCGATCTGGGTGCCGCTGGGCTCTGCATGCGATAAAGCGACAGCACTTCCGGTGGCTCGTCGCGGAGATCGGTCACGTCAGCCACGGCGTACACACCCTCTTCCGCCTGGCCGGCGTACGTCGGCTCTGTGCAGTTGTCTCGGCGATTGCTGGGTCTGGTGTACCTAGGCGTCTCGTAGATGTTGGTGTCCTGCGACTGTGGGCTCTGTTGGCCTGCCTTCCCGCGTGGGGTGTTGTACGGGGTGTCCTCGTTCCGCGTCAGCAGCCGCCTGCTGTACGATTCCGCGTTCTTGCCCAGCTCGTCGTTGTTTCTGCCCACGTAGACGAGGAATTCCGGTCGATTCGGTGCCGCGTACGCCAGTCGTTTCTTCCTCTTTGAACGCGTCAGATGCGCTATCAGCGCCAGGATGGTCGCCGTCGCGGCTAGGCAACTGACTGCTGACAACGACAGATAGAGCGGGCTCAGTCGGCATCGTAAAGAACCCTCCGAGAGAGCGATTAGGGCTTTCCCGGCGAATTCCTCGTCGGTGCAGATGATATCGTGGGTATCCAGTTCGAGTCTCGACTCGTTTCGCCG